TGAAAAGAACATTTTAATGAGGCGAAAACAAACAACGAGTATTGCACGATAACTGTTGGGACATCCTTTGTTGAGATCATTAATAAACGTTTGATGTTGTGTTCGCTGTCTCAGGATTCCTAGTCAGGGTGAAGGAGGGTGCGGAGTCTGTGCAACAAAAGATCCAAGCCAAAGCCGAAAGCGTTGGACTTACTTCTGCACCTGCTGCCGAAAGCCCGGTTCACGGACGGAAAGGTTAGTTGCACGTTTTCGAACAAAAATTTGCACGCAAGAAACCTTTTTTTTCGTTTATTTATTTTTTTCTCACACATTTTTGCCGTTTTTATTTCCAACAAGTTGATGCTTGCACTGCGCGACGTTCGTTTGAAAGAAATGGCGTGGAACTAGTTTCCGAGTCGCTAGTAAAGCGAACAAGAGGATAGAAAATTAAATGCAAGAAGAAGAGAAACAAAAAATATTCCTGGGGTTTTTCTTTTTTTTCACAACGTGGATACCCAGGCTTTTAGCTCCTCGAGCTCTTTGCTGGCCCTTTCAAAGAGCTTGCCCTCCTCCGTGTGCGTTTGTTCGTATTCGAGCAGACTTGTTGCTTCTTGAAGGCATTCGAGTCCCTCCTGGAATATATCGAAATTTACGTGTCATTTGGCATAATTTCTGCCCGATCGGAATTGGGCCGATGTTTTGCGGTTCGGACTGGAAGAAATTGTTTCTTGCCTAAACCGAACTTACTTTGGCTTTCGCCGCGACAGTCTTCTTGTCGGACGCATTTTTAACCAGCTTAGCCTCTGCAACGAGTGCACGGTGTAGTTGATACAACGTCGTGCTTCTCAGCCGCGAGATCCCTGTGGAAAAGGGGGATCACAGTTCAACTTTAATTATCCTGGTTAATGACTGGGATCTATGTAGGTAGTCTTGCACTTTGAAGCTCTCCGAATGCAAGTTATCAATATTTTAGGATTATCCGAGCTAGTGTGCTTCTTTTGTGCTTGATCATTTTTCATTTCAGGCAATTTTAATTTTTTTCTGTTCGACGGAACATCAATATTTTCGGATTATCCGAGCTAGATTATCCTTACTCTATGTAAGGATAATCTAGCTCGGATAATCCTAAAATATGTATAACTTGCACTCGGAGAGCTTCAAAGTGCAAGAAATAAAAATACCTGCCTGCTAAATTTAGAAAAGGCATTCATTTGTATGTTCCGTCGAACAGAAAAATGTTTAAATTGCCTGAAATAAAAAAAAAATAATTATCAAGTACACAAGATGCTGCTCTGTTAACTTTGAATGAGAAACGTTTCGGGCTTGAATTAGCCGAAGGTCTACTGTTCTTTTTTCAACCCAGCCTTGAGCAATTTCACGCAATAAGTGCGTATATTTTCGAAGTGTGATATGGCGTTTAAAGTAAATGCAGGATTAAAATGGCTTAGAATTTGGTTCTAGTTCGAAGGGGTGTTTGTGTGTGTGTTTAGTGATATGTCTTCGGAAGCGTGGAATTAAAAAAAAACTGTGTCTGACCTCCTTCGAACCACGATTGAGCCCCAAGGGGGTTTGTGACTGTTATTTGGAACCCCCGGATTTTTGAATGGCTCATTTGGCGCATCAATTTCGGCCAGCTTTGGTCATTATGGAATTTATTCTTGTATTTCCGTATTCCTAATTGGGCTTTTATTTGCTCTTCAGGTAGGAAAATAATTCCTTTTTTTTCAATTCACGCAAGTCTGACCAAAATTGAAGCGTCCTGTGAGGAACCCATGGGTTCAGAGGGGGCTTCAAATCACGGTCACAACTCACTCGCTTTCAAAGCTCCGTCCTTTGAACGGGAAAGGTAGAAACATTAAGTAAACTTCAAGGTTTTGGAGATACTGCATCTTTGTACACTCAGGTTCTTAATTAGGTCAACTCCGAATGAATGAAATCGCTCAATGTCACGCGTCATTCACACGATTGTTTGAGGTACAATATTTCAACCAAAATAATCCCTTCCCTGCGAGCCTCCACCTTCCATATTTCCGTCTTTCATCCGTTTTTTTTCCGGGACATTAAAAATTAACTTGCAAGTATTTTTTGTACCATGTTTTCATCTAAGAAAATGTTCAAAAAAAAGGGAAAAACCTTAATTAACCTTGCGCTGCTGAAACTAAAAAATAACGTAGCAAAGAATAAAATCACCGAACCTAAAATAACTCATCAACGAATTTTTTGAAAAAATTTGTCCATTAAATTGAGTTATCTATTTTTTACGACGCTTGAATCAACGACACTTGTCCCCAAGAAGCGAAGAACGAAAGGTCGCTGGTAGGGTGGGGGTTGAACTTCTGAACTTCACGCAGATTCCCCCATTCAAACATCCTAAGCCCCGTTTATTTGAATGTCAATCACGTTTGAAAAGCATTAAAATGACTCTTATGATGATGCGTACCGTAGAAGTGTCCATAAAAAGAAAATGTGATTTGTGAAATACAGACCCCCACCCCCCTTCAATGTTCGAAGAAAGGTGACGTCATGAAACGACTGACCTGGCGTGAGGACGTTGGCAACCTCGAGAACCTGGCGGCAGTATTTTTGCAACTGCGCCAGTTGCGGTTTCTTGAGCTCTGGGAACGTGTAGCCGGGTCGGTTTCCGTACAGCTGAGTCAACGTGTGCTTCACGTCGATGAGCTGGTGATGCGTCGGCGCCAGCATCGGGCTGTATTTTCTCACGAAGTCTTCGTATGTTTTGATTGGGTCGTCTGACGAATCCGACTCGAGATCGTCCACTACCTTGACGATTCACGCCGATGGAGGGAGGGAAAAAAAAGAGGAGGGAAGGTAAAAAATTAGGAACCTGTTTGATGAAATTTTCTTTTGCAAAATTTTTTTTACAACATTTAGCCTGAGAAAAAAAAAACTTGATCAACCCGACCTAATCCAGTTCTTCGACTGGGAATCCAAGCAAAAATGGCTCATTCCCGGTTTTCCCAGGTGCTTAATCGAAATTCTGAACGCTGCTCTGCTTATGAAATTTTCTTAAATTATAGAATCAAAATCATCTAAAATTTGGGAAAATTGATTGGTTATGAAGAAAATGTTGGCCACAATAGGTCAAGTTAATCAAGATCGGCTATGTTAGTTTCGTTTAGGAGAAAAGAGTATTGTGTAAAATTGGTTAATGTAGGTAATTTCGATTAATTAAGGTGTTCGGATAGTTTGGTGCGGTAGGATAGATTAGTCAAGCTTGGGTTAATCGTGGTGAGTTGGGATAATCCAAGTGAGAGGTTTAGGAATACTTCATAGGCTAGGTAACTGTAGCTTATTTAGGTAAGCTGCAGTTGGTCAAGTAAATCAAGGTTTGCCAGGTAAGTTAAGGTCAGTCAGGTAAGTTAAGGTTGACCAGTTAAGTTAAGGTTGGTCAGGTATGTTGAGGTTCTTCAAGTAGGTTAAGGTTCTTCAGGTATACTAAGGTTAAACAGGTATGTTGAGGCTGGTCAGGTATGTTAAGGTTGGTCAGGTATGTTAAGGTTGGTCAGGTATGTTAAGGTTGGTCAGGTATGTTAAGGTTGGTCAGGTATGTTAAGGTTGGTTAGGTATGTTAAGGTTGGTTAGGTATGCTAAGGTTCGTTAGGTATGTTAAGGTTGGTCAGGTATGTTAAGGTTGGTCAGGTATGTTGTATTGGTCAGGTATGTTAAGGTTGGTTAGGTATGTTAAGGTTGGTTAGGTATGTTAAGGTTGGTTAGGTATGTTAAGGTTTGTTAGGTATGTTAAGGTTGGTTAGGTATGTTAAGGTTGGTTAGGTATGTTAAGGTTGGTTAGGTATGTTAAGGTTGGTTAGGTATGTTAAGGTTGGTTAGGTATGTTAAGGTTGGTCAGGTATGTTGAATTGGTAAGGTATGTCAAGGTTGGTCATGTATGTTGAATTGGTAAGGTAAGTTGTGTTTGGTTGGGTAAGCTGGGTCAAGTTATGATAGTCTAAAAGTTCCCGGTCGAGAGTCTTTTTTTCTAGTGGGAAAACACTTGACAATTTTCAGAGCAATGTACAACCATTTTTTTTTTCCTATAAAAATCGAGGGTTGGGCAACATTTCGCTGCCATTTCATATTAAATTGATGGAGTAATTTTTGGAAGCGTAGACTCGCATGAGAAAAAATTGCTGCTCTACATCAAAAATGTGATTCATTTGCACTTCACTTGAAATACTTATTTGCCATACTTCTGTGAATAATTAACTATTCATCAATGTTTCCGTCAAGTTTCACTTGCGCTAAGTTTTGGTGCTTTGAAGTGAATCCTCCGAATTTTTTTTTCGGATTTTGAAAAAATATTCTCATTCATTGGTCAGTTTACCTGTCTCGAGAGTTCTGGGTAATGCTTCGAACACTCAGGATACTTTGAATTAATTTAAAATTAAGTACAATAACGACAAAGTTGGAAGTATTCCAATTTCCCCATTGCAACTCTTCGGAGCTAACTCCCGATCACGTGATTGAAAACCCTTATTCGCAAAAAAAAAAAAAAAAAAGAAGCAAATTTCACCTCTTCGAGGAAGGAGTTCATTTCGAAAGTGGTTTCGCGTTTCGCAGTGCTCTTGCACGTTGTAAGTTAAGGTCAGTCAGGTAAGTTAAGGTTGACCAGTTAAGTTAAGGTTGGTCAGGTATGTTGAGGTTCTTCAAGTAGGTTAAGGTTCTTCAGGTATACTAAGGTTAAACAGGTATGTTGAGGCTTGTCAGGTATGTTAAGGTTGGTCAGGTATGTTAAGGTTGGTCAGGTATGTTAAGGTTGGTCATGTATGTTGAATTGGTAAGGTAAGTTGTGTTTGGTTGTGTAAGCTGGGTCAAGTTAGGATAGTCTAAAAGTTCCCGGTCGAGAGTCTTTTTTCTAGTGGGAAAACGCTTGAGAATTTTCAGAGCAATGTACAACCATTTTTTTTCCTATAAAAATCGAGGGTTGGGCAAAATTTCGCTGCCATTTCATATTAAATTGATGGAGTAATTTTTGGAAGCGTAGACTCGCATGAGAAAAAATTGCTGCTCTTCATCAAAAATGTGATTCATTTGCACTTCACTTTAAATACTTATTAGCCATATTTCTGTGAATAATTAACTATTCATCAATGTTTCCGTCAAGTTTCACTTGCGCTAAGTTTTGGTGCTTTGAAGTGAATCCTCCGAATTTTTTTTCGGATTTTGAAAAAATATTCTCATTCATTGGTCAGTTTACCTGTCTCGAGAGTTCTGGGTAATGCTTCGAACACTCAGGATACCTTGAATTAATTTAAAATGAAATACAGTAACGACGAAGTTGGAAGTATTCCAATTTCCCCTTTGCAACCCTTCGGAGCGAACTCCCGATCACGTGATTGAAAACCCTTATTCGCAAAAAAAAAAAAAAAAAAGAAGCAAATTTCACCTCTTCGAGGAAGGAGTTCATTTCGAAAGTGGTTTCGCGTTTCGCAGTGCTCTTGCACGTTTCGCAACACCAATCAGAGTCCCCGTCGAACGGGTCAATCGGGATTATCCAACCATCCTTGCATTGCAAACAGCGGATCCCGCTCAGATACGTTCCGAGTTCTGTTGGATCGACGCATCTACAAAGAAATGTAAAAAGCAAACAAATTGCGTTGTTTCCAATGTCGGGTTGATGAAAATTTAAATTTTTTATCACTTCCCCCTTTCAAAGCCATGAGAGAATATTTCCGGTACAGTATTTTTCACCTCATCAGTCAGCATCGTTTTCTGGAATTTTCCGCAGTTTTTCCCCTTAGTTTATGAAAATGGCAAATTAATCATCGTGTAATTTAACGTACCCCAGCAGCTCGAGGTACTGTACTGTCATGTTTTACGAAAAAAAATTGACCCAATACTGTAAGAGAAAAGCTTTTGGCACAGTTTTTCAAATTTTTCTTGTGATCCGAGTTTCGCCTTTGCGAAGAAAAATCCGAGTCCTTATTATTGAGTTTTATTTTGCGTGACGGGTCGTGAAAATTATTAACTAACATTTTGATTCAGCATGTGAGATATTGATGCTGTTATTTTTGAAAGCATTGAAAATGTGAACACTTCCGGTCTGGTTATCAAATTCAGCATCACAGGATTCATATTTCGACCCCCCCCCCCCCCCCGATCTCGACAATTCAAGTTTTTTTTTAATGTCCCGTTCTTTATTGAACGTCAAGTCTAGAGAAGAGTCCCCTCTAATTTTTTTTTTTCGAAATTGTGGTAAGTTCTTCTAAATTTTTGGAGAAACAATGCGTATGTGTTAAAGGGGTACAATAAACTACCCAATTTCAGGCGAAATTCTGGGGCATCACAAAAAAATCACGGAATCGGAGACCTTAAATTACAGTAGATACAGTACCTTCCAAAATTTTCAAATTTTGACGGAATTCCATCGGGATTGCAGGAAATGTTACACTCTTGAGGGAAATAATTTCGTGACCTCGAATAAGATCAAGGAATCATCGGATGTAAAAGGTACATCATAAATGAAAATTACTGCATCGAAATTTTGCCCAGAAATGCAGCATAACCCTTTAATTTGGCTTATTTTCGTCTTGAAGTAGCTGGATTTCAATTGAGCTTCCTTGTCGATTTTTTCAATGAATTGATTTCAAGATCAGTTTTATTTTGTGGAGAAATAATCCTGCTTGTTTTACGTGAGGTTCTGACTATTGCTGACGTTAATCCTGTCACATTATTTGTTACTTCGAAGAATATCCCTGAATCCGACAACGTCAGGAGAAACGGTGAAAAGTACAGAAACTTTAGAAATTCATCCCCCCTTTTTTTACGTAAATCTTCTTTCGGGCTTTTTCCGGAATATTTTTATTTTCGGATGCTGGTTTTCAATAAAGCTCACCTTCCGCAATAACAGCTGAAATACTTGGACTCGTTCAGGTAGTCCCTTCGTTTGTAAGTTGGCCATAAACTGTCCGCGTAACTTATGGCGAAAGTCTCGTTTTTCTTCACTGCCACAGCTGCTCTGATCGTTACCGTGAATCCGGTATCTGGTCCTGACGTTGATCTGATTACGTTTGGCACGCAGTCGTGCTGAATTCTTCGCAGCGGGTCAATAGTTAAATGGAGAGAGAGAGAGAGAGAAAGAGAGAGAAATATCAGAGCCAATAAAAAATAAAATGACGGTTGTATCAATTGTCCATTTTTGATTACAATATTATGGATCAAAAGTTGAATGGATTGTCTTCGGATGGGATCTTTCGTTGCTTGTAGATTTATTTTTTAAATTACAGCGAATATTGAAATGAATTATTTTCATACTTCGATCGTTTGTCCAACTTCTTCGCTTATTTTTGCTGCGTCATTTATGCAAGTGTATCCCAGTCGATTGTCTACAAAGCTGTAGTATTCATTACTTATAAATCACGTTTCATCAATTTCTTGAGAAAGATAAATTTGAAAAATATCGAAGGGTCTTCTTCGGATGCATTTCAATCATCGACTATGATCGTTACCGTGAATCTGACAAAATGAATTAGGTCGCAAAACGGTCGCTGAGGTTTTGCTTTAATACTACCAGTGACATCTACTTGCAATGAAAGTATCTGCTGTCCCAATGACAAAAACGGGAAAATGTATCCTGCGCATTTCTTGTGTTTCTGCTGTTCATAAATATTCCAGTCTTCCTTTAAGATTCGTTTCTAAATTATAATGCAGTCTAACCTCTCCAAGTCGAATTTCAATGGAAACATGAAAAAAATTCGACTTGGGGAGTTTTGAATTATACAGTATAGGTTTGAGCTAGAATACAAAGCCTTTTTCTGGGAAACTTGGAAAAAATGTAAATTTTGATATTCTGGGGCTTAAATGGCTTCTTAAATGAGTTGAAAGGATGCTGAACTTGGAGGCAAGTGTTGATTTGCCAAATTTCGTCATTCACTTCCTTTAAAACACGTACATTTATGTTTTATTGATTTTTTTCTTGGGTCAAGAAAATATTGGCCAAAAGACCACAGAAAATTCAACTTATGGAGGTTCGAGGGGAAAAGCTTTTGACTTGGGGAGGTTTTTAATGTATTGTTTTTAAGGGGATTTTAATGTGGACCTGAAAAAAATTCAACTTATAGAGGTTTTAGTTATTGAGGTTCACCTGTAAATCAAATACTAATTGAAAGTAGAATTTTTGTCAAATTGATTTTTGCAATGGCTTAACGCAGCTTTCAGAAGCAGGTTTGACTTTTCTAACCTGGAGGACATCAAGTAAAGTCCCTGAATAGTGTATTCCGTGTCCGGGATCGGGATCTCGAAAGAATTCACTCCCAGGATCCCGCACACGAGCTGCACCTTGTCCTCGGTGAACTTGGTGGACTGGAATTGTTCGTCCAGCACGCTCATGATTTGCTCGGTCACCATCCCGGTCTCACCAGTCTCTTCTCGCTCCTCCAAGTGGGACTCCATTTCCGTAATGTGTTCCCAAGACGAGGACCCATCGAGGTCCATGAACAGTACTCTGAGCATCGTAACTAGTCCGAAGAACTTGTCCACCAATTCGGGGTCTTTGAAGTCCATGTGGTTCACCTTATTTTTTTTTTTTCAGGAGAGGGGGAAGCGAATGGGATTTTTTGTTGAGAGAGTCGAGTTTGTGGGTCTCACGCGAAAGCTAGAAAAAGAATCATATGTTGGTTGGCGTATGAAGTGAAACTCACCTGGAATAGAAGGCATCTGAAGAAAGAAAGAAAAAAACAGAAGCAGAAATAATGATTACTCCTGTGCCGAATTCTCAACGATTAAGTTGTGAATGTGAGCCTTTGAAGGGGAGACAATTGGATGCCGTCGAGCTTTTGCATTTTGTTCATTTATTTATTTACCAATTTATTTTACAGATTCTATTTAGACACCATTTTTCTTCTTCGAAAAATGAGAAAACTAATACGAGGGTTCTAACAAAAGTTCTCGGATTAGACACTAAAATGGCATACAATTGAGCTGAAAAAGTCATTCTTTAGGGAAAACATATTCTTTGGCATACAAAAAAAAAATCAGCCGAGAATTCTGACGGGAAAGCTGGGCCACTAAAAAAAAAATCTGCGGGAAGGGCGCCTCATCTTTTGAGTGGAGAGCAAAACTCCGCCAGGGTGAATTTTGCAAAACATTGAAAAAAATTTGTCAAACAGGGCTGATTTTTTTTGTGTGCCAAAGAATATGTGTTCCCTAAAGAATAAATTTTTCAGCTCATATGTATGCCATTTTAATGTCGATTCCGAGAACTTTTGTTAGAACCCTCGTATATATGCTATCCCACGCGTCGAATACATTGATACTGTCTCAACTGTTGTGTCATCCGCAGTGTAAAAAAAATTGCGCCTTTCTAAAAGCTGATTTTCTATCTTCGAATATTCCAATTGAAAAATTGTCTTTCGGTAACTAAATTCAAGTATGGTTTTTATTTTGACTGGATGGAGGACCTTCTTTACGATTTTTCTCCAAGTATTTTATTTTGGAATGCGGGGCTGGAAAGAAAAATCACGAACCGGTCGGGAGACTGATTAAATATGAAATTTAGAGAATTCGAGTTATTATTTTATAAAATTGAAGTACTTTACTGTATTTTATAATGTCTGTTACCAGAATAGTAAAGTTGAGCTTTGTTTCAACTGAAAACGGAAGATTTATGTGAAGGACGTTCATGAGTTCTGTGACTTGACTTCTTTCAAGACGGTCTCCATTTTTCATGTTATTTACCAAGCCATTTTATAAAATTTTTTTGCTCTATCAACTTGAAAATGTGATGAGAAACAGAGCTTCAACTGAATTTTTTTTCAACTTCTGATAAATTGGTTTAGTTGGACGAGTCGTGAAAAATCTTTCAATTTACCGCAGGGAAAAACGGTACAAAAAATGCAGAAATCATTGTGAATAAGATCACAGACACGTGCGCCTTAATGAATAAGTGCTGTGTAAACTGAAAATGTTCTCGAAATTAAAAAAAAATTTTACTATGCTAAACTTCTAAGAAAGCTGATGGAATATTTATTCGAAAAAATAAAATCTTTGAAAAGAAGTGTCTCACTCTGATTGATGACGTTTGGCTTGACTGCAATCTGCACTGCAAAGCGGGAATCCACAGCCAGAACAAGGAACCGGTTCGTCCACCATTTTAAAGCACACTACACACATGTCGTCTTTTTCGGCCAGGTGCTGAGGTCCTAAAACCAGTGGTTCCTCCTTTTCTTCCGAAAAGATCAAGGATGGAACTTCATTAATTATGTCTTCGAAGGTTCGTGTGAGAAATATTAGCCTGATGATCGAATTTGATAGTTTTTCCCTTATGTTGAAATGCTCAAAGAAGTACCGGTACTTATTCTTTTATAGGCCGCAGCACGTGTTTCGGCAGCTTTATACAGTTGAAACCTCGATAATTCAAACCTCCCCGAGTCTAATCGAGTTTTTTTCAAGCTCCTCTCTGAATTCCCTTGGAAACGAAGCATTAAAAACCTCCCTAACTCGAATTTATTGAGGCCCTTTCGGCTATTATTTTATTCACACAGGAAAGAGAAAAGTAATAAAAAATGTAGCTCTATGCATTTTGAAAGGAAGTGAAAGAATAATTGGGCAAATGAACCCTTGCCTCCAAGTCCAGCATCCTGTCAAGGCATTTGAAAAGAAATTCAAGGCCAAGAATATCTCAGGATACGATTTCCTGTAATTCTTCTTTCCCGCAACAAAAATCCTTGTTTCCCTGACTCCATTTTTTCCCTGATCCCTTGTAGTTTGACTTGAAGAGGCTTGACTTGATGCATGAAATATTCATGCGTTTGTACGCCGCAGTTTTTCCGGAACTTTAATGTGGAACTAATATTTTTAATCATAATATTGTATCAGCTTTTTTTCTAATACACTAAGTAAATTCGCTGTCATGTTTGTAGGCCGCAATTTTTCCGGAATTTTTGTGCGACCTGTATTCTAGAATCTTAACACTCGTACAGTGAGGAATTTTCAGGAATGTGGCCTGTATTCGAGATAATGTGGTATTTTCAAAAATATCTTGAAAAAAAACATGCTCTTCGTTGGCTCACTTCCCATTCAGAATCTGTGAAGCAGCATTTCTGTGGGTTTCACGGCATTGATGGTTAAGAATTATTTTTTCTTTGTATTTGGGGATTTTTAATTGTCGATATTTATAGACTTGGTCTCTGTGTCGGCCACATTTTAAATAATGATTGCTGAGTATAAACTACCCAAGTTCTGCCCGGAAATTTTTTTGCGGTCTCTACACGCATGTTTTCAGCGTGATACGTCAAGTTTAAATACTGTATGTTCATTAATTCAAAAACAAAAGTATTCCGCATGGAAACACATTCTATGGCGGCGTTTTGTCTGCGTTTGTGGGCCAAGAGGGCACGAAGCCATTCAGACTAAATGGCGGGAAAAGAGGGACAGAAAAAAAAATTGAGCAACACTTGGAAAGAATTTCGATAGAAGAAAAACAGGTTCAATGACGAGGAGAAGAAGCGGAAGAAAGAGAGAAAGAAAGGTCTCACTCTGAAAATAACCTCGCCCTGTTCGACGGGGCGAATGGCGATCAGGTGTTTTCCGAGATCCTCCGAGTCCTCGATTTTGTAGGCCACACACTGCTTCTTGTGCGTCGTCCAGTCCTATAAAATTATAAATCATCCCGGACAGAATGGAATCAAATACGGTGAGACCCCCCAGATGCGGACTTAATTGTTGCATCAAGAGTGGCCCCAAGTTGAATTGTCCCTAAGTTAAGTCTTGTTTTCCCATAGAGTTACGTTATATAATTTTTAATTGGTGTTTTATGGAAAGGAATATTCTTCAGAATTCCATGAAAAAATGTCCACGAATTTGATTTAGTGAATATTTTTTCAACCCAATGAGAACATTTGGAGCATTGAATAGTATACCACTGTACAGTTCATTGAAATTTTGGCATCTGTAAAAATTGCATCCGAGTCACAAAGAGAGAAGGAAGTCCCTCTATGGTATAGGTGATTTTTTTAATTAGCTGAATGGATGGGAAAGTGATGGGAAAATTACCAAAGAATTTTTCTTGATTACATCTTAGGGTTGGAAATATTTGTTTCTTGCAATTTAGCCAAATAAAAGTCAATTTTCCTGAAACTTACTGCAAATTTTATCATGCAATGTCCTCATGTTGAGTCAGTGTCCGTATGTTGGGCCTTTTTATGATTTCTTTATTGAAAAATAAATACCAAATTGTCCACATATCAAGGTGCCTGCATGTGGGAGTCTTAACAGTATGCATCATGTTTTTTTTTTACGTTCTAAAAATACTGTACCAATAATACAGTCTCAACCGTGGGCTCTGCCTGAATAGTTCACAAAACCCCTCCGCGACTACTTCAAGACAAATTTTTAAAAATGTTAATGCGTAAAAAAAAAGAAATGGAAGAATGATGGAATGAAATTTTCGCAAAAACGGTGATGTTGAAGAAATATGTCCCGTAAAATGTGGAGAAGACGTGTGATCCTGTAAATCGGGTCACTGACGCAAAATGAATTCATCTGTTCACTGTGCGATGTACTGTAAATCATTTCCAGGAAGGATTCCTCAGTAAAATTGAATAAATAAACCGATAATTGTTGACCTACAAATCAGATAATTTGACCCTCCCGAAATGCGTCCGATCTCCCTTAGTTTCTAATGATTTTGAGAAAAATTGCTTTTACAATTTTGAAGAATCTACAAGGAATACATTTCTGATTCTCGGTTTTGTTGGAATGCCGTAATAATCTGAAAATGTTAAAGAAGTAAAAAGTTCTGCTTATCCCACCTTCCTATCCATCAGTTTTAAACTAGATTAAATAAAAGCTGATGCGAATTTCTTTGGCGTTGTGAAAATTCGATGCAGTTGAGTTTTGCTAAATATTTCGTATGAATAATTTGCGGGCTCCAACACATGTTTTTATTTTTTTTACGGGAATGCATTCCAAATTGAACAGTACATTTATTTGTTTAGCTTCCCAATTCATGAGTACTTTGAGTTTTTACTGTTAATGAGAATTGTTCAGCTCATGGAAAACTGGATATTTTTTTTTCGGAATACAGATCCGTTTATGTTCTTTATGTTGTTGAACAAAATTTCAAATCATTTCCTGTCATGAAAACCGAACGGAATTCGCAGAAAATTCTGAAACGATTTCCAACATGTTCTCTAAAATACATTAGTAATCTGTGAGAACTGGGAACTAAACTTGCGTTTCACTTCAGAGATGAGAGTACAGCGAGACCCCAACATGCAAACACCTCAACATGCAGACAATTCGACATTGGGACTCTTATTTTCCCATAAAAAAATTAATAAAAAGGCCCCAACATGAGGACACTGACTTGACATAGGGAAATTTTGTGATTGAATTGCAAATAAGTTTCAGGTCAAATTACAATAAACATATATTTCCAACCCTAAAATTGATGTAAGCAAAGTTATTGGGCATTTCTCTCACCAATTTACCATCCATTTAGCTAATTTAGAAAAATTACCTCCAGCATAGTGGGGCTTCCTTCTCTCTTTTACACTTGAATATTATTTTTTTACAGAGAATGCTAACATTTCTATGTACAGTACTGTATACAGAATTATTAGTATTAAAATGCCCATATTGTGTTGAAATTTATTGATTGGAATCAGTTTAACTTGGGAGACAATTTTTATTTTCATGGAATTACGGTTGAGTATTTTGTACATAAAACACCAATTAAAAATTATACAGTATAATGTAAGTCTAAAGGAAAATGAGACTTGGCTTAGGGACATTTTGACTTAAACACACTCTTGATGCACCAATTACATCCGCACCTTGGGGTCATACTGTATTGTAATTTCTCTGTTGCGGAAATGAGAATTTTTGGAAACTCGTGAAACATTACGAGGCAATTTTCGACGAGAATTCAAAAATGAAGAAACCGTCTCCTTTTTTTCTTATGAAATATTCTTCATTGGTTTTGGGGATATGAAAGAAAGAAGAAAAAAGCGAACAGTAACTTGCATCCTTCTGATGGTCCCTGGTGCAGTAGTAAACGTTGTGGCAAAGGCTACAGTTGAGGGTTGTGTCTTTGCCGCATATTTTGCACTTTCCACCTTTGCCTTGCCCCGTTGCACCACTTCCTCCGGACATTTCTTTAGGAAGGGAAACGTATGGTTGTCGTATATCACAATCTGAAACGTTTTGCAGAAATTTTTTAAATTGAAGAATCGTATTGGGAGTTTTTCTGTGATTGGCAGTTGAAACTCCGAGGGATGGTCCATAAGTTTGGAGACTGAATATGATTGGAGACTGAATAGGATACGCATGGATTTATTTCGCATCCTGAAATAGCTTCAAAATTAATTCAGCGATGCTTCGGTGTTTTTCAATGTATGGTGATTTCTGCCGATTCCATTTACTGTAATCCATGTAGGATAAATTCAGTGTACACTTGATAAGGAGAAAAAACACACTTCATATTGCTTTTTTTTCAAATATTTTTTTAACTGCTTCAGAATCCTACAGTATTCAAAAGGGTGGATTAAAAAATTTTTATTTTCAAAAAATAAGACCATTTCTGGTAACTGTAAATGCTTGAGTCTCAGAACATTTGGACAATCCCTGTGACTATCCGGTTCCAGTTTATCGTGAGAACTTCCGATTAGGATCAAAGGAAACATGTTCTTCAATCAATTTTTTGGATCAAATGAATGAATTTGAGAATCACTCGTTTCTTTTTTTGGAATGTCAAATTTCAACTTACTTCTTCTATCTAACCCGCAAATTATGTGTGAAATAATATGGTTTCTGGTAAGGAGTCGCAAATCGAATCGAAAGTCCTTTTTTTCTCTTGAATTAATTCGAGAATCGCCTTTTTTTTTATTGGATGTCAAATAAATTCTGTTAGTCTCATCCGCAAGCAATGTGGCTTCTCTCAAGAAATCGCGATTAGAATCGAAGGAAAATTCTTCTCGCTTGAATACAATTGAATAAATTCGAGAATCGTCCTTTTTTGAATTTGAAATAAACTGAAGTCAGTCTCATCCGCAAAGCAGTGTATCAAATAATCATGACATCTCGCAAAAATTGCCATTAGAATCGAAGGAAACATTTTTTTTAGCTTTTATTAAAGTAAATAAATTTGAATACCGCCATATTTTTGAATGTCAAATAAACTTCTCATCCACTGCAATATGCGCAAGAATCGTGGTTTCTGCAAGCCTGAATACAAAAAAAAAAAACTTCATAATATCCACTTCGACTATCACCGAAACAAGAAATATAACTCGCGACACTTCCGAAATTTCCATTTTATAACCCTCAATGCATTCAACTGTGCTATATTCGCACTCGGTTCATTCCAAGGCAAGAAACCCGACTGAGAGTCGCCGGGGAAATTTATTTGAGAAAAACGCTTTGAGAATCATCCTCGACTTTTTTTTTCTTTTATTCATCATCTGTATGTGGACGCTTGAGCTTCGTTTTTTTTTTAAGCGAAAATTTCAAACCAGGAACGATGAAAAAATACCTTTGGAGGAAAGAGTGAAATAGGGGGGGGGGGGAATAAAAATTGCACTGCACTGCGTCTGTACGTGTGTGTGCTCGCTGCGAAGCGAGGTGAAAGCAAGGGAACTGAGGACGTGTGGGGTGGGTTTCGCGTTCGCGACGACGAAAATACCCGGGGAACGATGCCCGACTGGGGCAACCACGCACATCGTTGCCCTGCTTCCGTCTCGACTCGCAACCCCCGCTTCGCACCATCTTCCATAGGAAACTCATCTTGGTCCAGGTGGAAGCCGGAAAGATTTCCCCGGAAATCCTGTTTGAGTTTCATTTTATGTTTCTAATTTTTTTTGTTTTGCGGAAATGATAACTTGTATACAGGTGGTACCTCGCAATTCGACGGTCAAATTTTGCAGGGAGGTTGACTTGCAATTCGACCTCTGTCCCGGAATTCGACCTGCTTTGGCCAACTTTTTTTTCGCGTTTTTGTGCTCGTATTTCTTGATTTTACAAAGTGTCTTGTAATTCGATCCTAGTTCAGCAACGGATTAGTGTCGAATTGCGAGGTACCACCTGTACTGGTTCAGTGTCTCGAAATCATTGTCTTGTCGAAATCATGCTTTTGAAATTAAAGGTGGACTGACTCTCTCTGTCTCTGCGATGGGATTATAGGGACCAGAAAAAATTGTTGTTGAGAGAATTTCGTCGTAGAGACAGGTTACACATGTAATTTTGAAAGAGTTCCACAAGACAACAAGTTTGAGTCATTGAAAACGAAAATCATCTAACCAGGAAAGAATTTGTTGTAAGAATCTTAGCGGGAGGAGAGAACCCCAGGGAAAAAAAAATTATTATGCTGAGGAAATTATTGTTGAAGAGAGTGCACCCGTATTTCCTATCTTGTCGGGCCTAAGTGGCAAGAATAAATATATCTTTTTCTATATCAGTCACATAAATATTTTACGCTTACAGTACTTCTAATTACACTTGACGCTTTTCAAGTCAAATTCGAAGGAACCCGCAAATATTTTTAAATTGAAGGTTTTTAAGCTAAAAAAATTGAATTTTTTCTGGGGATGGGGGGGGGGGGGGGGGTGTGAAGAATTACAGCAGAGTAAAATTGGTGATTTTCTAAAACTTGAAATAATTTGTTAATGAGTTGACAGCATGCAGAAACAGGAGACAAGTGTTCATTAGTCCCTCACTTCCTTCTGAAAAATATCTATCAACATTTCATTGCTTTTTATATACCTGGGTCCCCAGAAAAATAGCTAAAAGACTTCCAGAAAATTCGAAATACAGAAGTTTGAAGGGTTCAGTTTGGCATTCTGTCAACTCATTTGAGAAAAATGTAAGGCCGAGAATATCACCAACTACACTTTCCTGTAATTTTTTTTCTTTCCTGCTACAAAAATACTGGTATCACTAACTCAAAACATCCCTCATTCGAATTTTTTGCCGGTCCTTTTGAAGTTCGACTTGGAAGAGGTTTGACTGAACGTGATTCAAGCGACACCTATGTAACAAAGATATTCTTTGAATCAAACCTTGAGGCATTTTTATGGGACATCAACTGGTTTAAAAAAATCTGTTAGAAAAAGACAGTACAGTAATTGCTGGAGGATGCAATTCGTATGTGTAAAATGATTCCGTACTGAAGTACTGTTGCTTTTGTATTTTACTCAACTACAGTAGTGTAATGTACCGCAGTTCGGCGAACATTTTACCTTATCTTCAAGAAAACTCACTTCCAGATGTTTCGTCACTAATTTTCTTTTCCATACTGGTCAAAGGAAATGAAACAATTTATTTCGCTATTTATTTTATTTATTTATTTGTCATTCATCTGCCATCCGATGCGAGTGATGTGCCAAACAATCGGCAAGTTTGACTCTTGCTACTTTTTGACAGTCAGCGCATGGCAGGCCTACCATCCCTCGTGTCCGCTTTTACATATCTTTTTTTTTTCCTCACCCTCCTTGTATTTTGCGCGTCGTTTTCAGCGTTCTGCGCTGTTTGCTTTTCTTCGAACGTAGTGACGGACGTGCGAGAAGAAAACTGGGTCGTGGGATTGTCTGCGAGGTGATGCGAGCGCTTTTGTAATTTCAAGCATGTCTGGCGAGTTTTTCCCCCGTTCCACGAAGAAAATCTAAAAAAAAAAGTTGGTCGTGAATTAAGTTACACTTTTTTGGGGAGGCAAAGGAAGCGATTTAACCTTCGCAGATTAATTGAATGGAATGGATTTTTATTCAAGGTCACCGCAGAAAAGTAAGAGAGTGACCCATTTTCAAAACCTTTTGTTGATTAGTTTTTTGTATAAGGAATTTATCTCAGCGATGCCCTGCAATTTTCTTTGTTGTTGCAATTTTTTAATGAAGAATTGGTTTTAGTTGGGGGAAGTTGCTAAAACTGTTGGCGTTCATTTTCCCTCGCCCTGTAAAGCTACGATTTTTTTTTATTGCGAAGAAATAAATGAAAAAGATTATTATAAATACTTTAAAAGATTCCTGCATAAAATGTTCTTGCCATGAAGAATTTCCCCTTGGCCCTGAAATGCAAAATATTTTGCTACGGTTTTAAATAGACTGAAGATTCTGCCGTAATCGATCGTATTAATGACAAATTGATTCAAAAGATTCAATGGGATAAACGGAGCGGGCTGAAATGAAGACATACATTTGTGTTCCACAATTTTTCGCGCAGATCTTGCTATAATGAATTTTGCGATTTCCATATAAGGCGACTTGATTCAAGATTCTTAGTAGACGAAGAGGAGAAGCGATAATTATTTTTGCATACTTGCGATGCGGCAAAAAACTTCTATATTATATATTCTTTTTTTTGCACTTTTAGAAGAAAGAAAACAGTTTCTGCTTTTTTGCCAGTGAAACAACGACGTCTTTATTCAAGATTCTCAGTAGCAAATTTGATGGCGTGAAAGCGCGCATTTTCCCCCCACAAAATTTTGCAGCGTCTCATTTTTTTCAAACGAATATTTCGAATCGTAAAAAATAAACTATTCTTCTTCTTCAGTGTCAAAACGTGTATGCCATCAAGATGTCTAGAATAAAATGCGTTTCCGATTTCAGCCGAATTTTTCGTCATCGTAGAATTGATTTCGATTTTTTGTTTTTTCAAACGAGGTCGAATTTGTAAGTGGATGCCGGGGTGCCTTCGATCGGGGTGAGGGTTTTGTAGGCCAGGGTCTTGACGACCGGGACGAACGGGGCCGAGTACGCGTAGGGTTGCGGGTAGAATGCCGGGTACACGGGGTGCGGGACGGCGGGCAACCCGTGGTAGAAGATGGCGCTGCGCTTCCGCCTGGATTTCGTCTCTTCCGCTTGGTAGTCTGCGTGGGCCTTGGCTGCCTCCACTGCCTTCTGGTGCTCTTCCTTGGCTGCTTTCACTTCTGGGGTGTCCTGCACGGGCTCTGGTCCCTGTAATTGTGAATCGAAATATTACGAGTCGAATGTCTCTTGAAGAGAACAGCGGAAAAAATAATTCGGGTCAGGGAGGTTTCGAGTTGGAGAAACAATAATTTTTTTTTTGTTTTGGAAGGGGTCGGGGGGGGGGAATAATTAAAGGAAATTTTAATTGGTGATATTTTGGTCCTTGAATTGCCTCTTGACATTGCTGGAAGAGTCTTTATTGCATACCAAGTGAGTTTCAGCTACCAACTTTTTTTTAGGGTTGATTTCTGTAGTTTTGCGAAGTGATGATCATCGAGTTGAGAGAAATGAAGAATTACGGGAAATTGGAGTTGGAGTTTTTTGGGGCTTCAAATTTCCTCTTGAATGATTTGGCAGGATGCTGCATTTGGAGGAAAGGGTGGATTTACCCAATTGGTCTTTTATTTCCTTTCGCAACTCATGAAATCAAATTTTTATTGATTTTTTCTTCCCTGTGTCAATAAAATATTAGCCAAAAAATAAGTAATCGAGTTTCACGTTATTTATTACAGGAATAAAAAAAAACTTGGTGTTCTGTGAATTTGCTGAAAAATAATGGAGATTATAGTTTTCTGAACTTCACACTTTCTCGAAGCTTCAGAAGTATGAAATGTTTTCGAAGCGTCCTTCATTCAAGGGTTAAGTTAACTTTTTTGTTATATTGAGTGGACAAAAAGTAGACGGATTTTTCAACAGTGACAATCGTATTTAATAAAAAGCTTGAAAAAGAAGTTGATTTCATTTCTTTTCCAGTCAGAATATTTTCGACGGCGTTGGAAATACTGTACCTTCCAAAAATTTTTGAAAACCCGCCGTTGTTTAAAATGCGTATTAATATCTTTCGATTTTGAATTCTGATTGAGTTGAACTCCATTTTTCCTCATTAGTGTTACATTTCACAGAGAGAAAGCAGTTGACTTATTTTTTCCTTCAAATTGAGATTCGAAAAATTTTGGAGTGCAAATTTCCGAGAATCTTAAATTCGCCTTGAAGAAAAGGCATCAAAATTCACACTTACTTCCTGATCATGAACTGGCTGTACGAGGTCAACCTTTGGGGCGACTGGGAGCACATTTGAGCTGACCTGGAATCCTTTTTCTGAGTCGGCTCTGTAATTCACGTAGACTGGTTTTCCCTCAGCGTCGATGTACTGGTAAGCTCTGTAAATGAAATTTGACGTTCACTTGACTTGAAAAAATGTTTCGTGTATATTAAAAAAAAAAATAGTTTCGCTTCCGCTGTACTCTAGCATTTTCCGTTCGAGTCTCTTTTATGTTTCGGTGTCCTCTGTCATATTTTCTTTTAGAGCCACTGTGTTGCAAATATCGTCGTCGATAAATTTTCATCAGTGTGCATTTAAATGAATATACCGTAATACCACTAATTTTTTTTTGTGAAAATAACTGGAGCCTTTCGATGTCAGAAGTAAGCTTCGGTCGTTTTTTTTTTTGTGGGGATCGTTTCCATTTTCGGAGGACTCCGATTTTTCTTGTGTTAACATTTTCACGTCGAATGATCTCCCATTTTCATCGACTTTCAGAAAGTCTTAGTTTATTATAATTTTTTCTCGAAATTTCGTGGTCAGGTATTTAATTGTGCGGGAGCAGGGTTCCCGAGCCCTGCAATTCTCAAATCGGAGGCGGGATTGGACGTATAATGATCCCTTGTAATACACCAGTGGGTCCCCGTATAACGGAATTGTTTCACTTCACAAAATTTTTGGCCCGAAAAACACTCGGAATTTTGGCATTTTTGGCTGAATTTTGAAATAAAATAAAAATGAGGAAAGGATGAATTGAGGGTATAGCTGTGCCTATTTTCGCTTTTAAATTTGTTCAATTCAGAAAGTTGAGCACAAACTTGTCATGATTACTGAAATTTAGTACTGATCGATTTCAAATTCACAAATGTACATTATTAAAGAGAACACAATTGTCCTCGTTACTGCCTGTGACTTCATCTCGCCCTTGAAGGTCTTCTACTTGGTGTTGTGTACGATGCAAATTTTCATATTGAAAAAGAAAACAGGGAAACTCACCCAGTGACGCCACCCAAGGCGTCCCTGACTGCGGAGTGCGCTTGTCCCGGGAAAGCGTATCCGTAGGACGCCTCTCCGAGGTGGTTTTGCGAGTGATACTGACTGGCCACTGGTGCCGGGAAAGCAGGGGCGTAGGCCAGAGGCGCCACCGGTGCCGGCGCCGCCGCGGCGTACACGCTCGGGTATCCGTTGTAGTAGACAACCGGTGACGGGTACGTGGCCTGCGTATGGTACTGTGTTCTGAAGAAGGGGGCAGCTACCGGCGAATAGAATGCGAGTGGGTGGGCCAAGTGACTGGCTGACGCGGAGACGATCGTGCTGATCAGCAAAATTGCCAGCTAAATCCCGAAAGGAATACAAATTAAAAAAAAAAAATAAGCAGAGAGAAAATAGCAAAGATTAAGACAATTCAAATGACATCTCATTTTGTAATTGTCTTAATGTAATTTTTTATACTGTAATTCTAAAAGGTGACTTTTACCTGTATTTGTTGGTACTGTATCTCGTATTCGCAGGTAAAGTGTTTTAATTATATCTGGCCAACGCAGTGTTCTCGATAAATTAATTTTTGCAGTATTCCCGTTATCACGAATTATTGCGTGCCACGATTTTTTGTCGTTGCCCAGTTGCCAATTTTTCATTTATTTAGTTGTTGCGAAGCTTTTAAAACATCTTAATCGCTTCCTTGTAACGAAATTCTGCTGTGAAACGAAAGTCGAAAATTCAATTGAACAAATCTTTTCTGCCAATGCCTGCTCAAGGAGACACTTACTGATAATCCTGCTTTTGTTCTCTCCCTTCTTATCTCTCGTTTTTTTGTTGCATTCTTATATTCGTAAATCAATCAATGGATCATTTATTTCTGGAATTACTTATTTTCATACAGTATTTTGATCAGCATGTTCATATTTCTAGGAATTCCCGCTGGTTTAATGTTTGTTTAAAGATTATCCGAGTTTTTCTCGCTCACCAAGCTGAAATAAATTACTGTACTGTATTATTACGTTGATACTCGGAAAGGTATCTGTTGTTAATTTTAATAATAATTTGGACAATGATTCAAAAATTCACAAAAGCTTTAAAGAGCAAGATTTTGAATATTTAAAAAAAAAGAAACGTTGTTTCATGTGAGTCTTTTGTTTTGTTTTTCTTCGATTGAGAGTCAGTCGAAACAGCAGATTCGGACATGGATTAAAACAAAAGCTTAAAAGAAAAAGATTATTTTTTTCTTTACTCAAAGCATGCAAAGAAACACACTCAATTGCACGGTTTTTTTTTCTTCTCATTTCTCGATCTCCGACCGAAAAACAAATTTTCCCTCTATTATGAATAAAATGTATACCGCAAACTCACGGAGGTCATGGTTGTTTTTTTGCAAAGAATAGGCGGCTATCGAAACCCAAAAAGCACCGTTTGTAGAAAAGCGCTGGGTGTTCGCTGCTTCGAAACTCTCGCCTTCGGAAGACGCCGATGAGGTGTACTGTCCGGATTGCACTCGTGCCCGGCTTTTTATATGCTTCGTCTCGGGATCCGCCTTTTGTTCGAAAGGGGGGAGGGTTTCAAGATTCGACGTCATGTCATGTGGGTGATGAAGTGGTAAAATGGGGTTGAGCGATGCAAAAATGCCCGAGGGAAGAGAGAGAGAGAGAGAGAGAAATAAAAGACAATCACTCTTGCGGACAACCTGTTGCAAATTCTTCTGTGATGAGGAGGGGGGGGGGAAGAGACGAACCAATCAAAATTTGCCTCGGTCAATGGACTTTCATTATTTCCAGCCGGGAGTTCGTCATCTGAAAATTCTTTTAACCGAGTTCTGTAAAGCTGTCTAGAATGGCTCATTGGTTTCTGGTTCCCGTTTTTGACTCACTGCTACGAACCTACTGGGTATGGAATTTGAAAATCCGTTCAAGATGCCTTCGAAATTTAGTTTATAATTTTTTTTATTGTACTGGAATAAATCTCGGATTCTCAACATGAAATGCAAAGAAGGATACAGTGAGACCCGCACATGCAGACAATTCGACATAGGGACACTTATTTTCCCTGAAAAAATTGATAAAAAATGGCCCGACTTGAGGACATTTTGTGATAGAATTGCAAATACATTTCAGGCCAAATTACAAGAAACAGATATTTCCAACCCTAAAATTGATGTAAGAAAAGTTCTTGGGCATTTCTCTCATTAATTTTCCATCCATTTAGCTAATTTTAAAAAATTACCTCCAGCAAAGAGGGACTTCTACATTTTTTTCACTTGAATGTTATTTTTGTGGATATCAACATTTCAATGTACATTGCAGAGATACTCTATTCAAATTCTCCAAATGTTCTTATTGAGTTGAAAATGTATTCACTAATTCAAATTCAAGTGGAAAATAATTTTTTTCAGGGAATTCTGAAGAATATTTCTCCCATAAAACGCCAATTAAAAATTATGTAATGTAGGTCTATGGGAAAACAAGAGTCGACTTAGGGACACTCTTGATGCACCAATTATGTCCGCATCTTGGGGTCTCGACTGTATATTGAAAAAGGAGGAGAAAGTCTCCGAAAACAGCCAAAAATATCAAAAATTGTCTTATATGATGTAATTCTAATTATCCCGCAGCAAGTACAATATTTTGACCATTCCATCTATGTGCACTATTCTGAAGTTGAATACTCTATCTGGAGAAAAAAAAAATTTGCAGAAACCGAGATTTGTCGTGCAGGTGAAAACTACAGCGTCTAAAATCTGGGATAATATGCCTCTAATTTGTGGATGATTATTGTACGAGTGGTTTTTTTTTTTCAATTGTGGACTAGCTTGGGTTTGAAGTATGAGCAGAACTTTTTTTCAAGCTCAAAATTGTAAAAATCAAGCTTTTTTCTTTGCGTTCCTTTCCAAGGTCGAGGAACAAAATTGAGAATTTTCGCGTGTTTGAAAATTGCGGTTTATTGAATTGCAGTATCATCTTTGAAATCATTGCCTGTTTTCATTCATGTAAATGGGGCATTTTGCGAGTTCTTCGAATTTTTTGCATGATGATCTTGTTGTAACGAATTCAAGCTTGAAAAACGAGGTTGTTCTTCATGTCCCTGCCCAAAAGCCACGACGTTGTTGAAATCGTCGTATAACGAATTTGTCGTTGTAACTAAGCTTTTTCGAAAGTCCGGGAAGCTTCGTTGAGACGAGGTTTTACTGCGCACTGTTTTGGTTTGTGCGGGGATTATTCTTTCGAGCAGTTGTAATCGGGGGCCTTTTTAAAAATGAATTATTGTACGAGTATCTCATTTTCAATTTTTTCCATTGTTTTATTTCTTAAGCGAACGTTTCAACGGTTGACGTTCTCAACTTTCGATCGCGGTTCTCTCATGTTCTCCGTCTGCGCTTTCAATGCATTCCCTAATCTCTAGAAAAAAATATGAGTTAGATGATGGAAAATAATTTCAAAATCAGCAAGTTTTAATGCTGAGGACTTGAATTTCCGAGACTTGAAAAAAAAGGAATTTTTTAAATCATAAAATTTCATTACTTAGCAGAACGTGTGGCAGTCCTAATAAGTAAATCCACTGATTGAATAAATTTTGGAAAAAGTGAGATTTTGAAAGAGATGGAAAAGGTTGGGAAATTTTCGTTTTCAGTTTGAATTTCCGTCAAGTTTGTGGCCTCTGAATCATCCTCGATTGATTTTTTTTCTTTTTCGCGTGGCATTTTTCTTCATAATCTGTTGCATCTTTCAGTCTTTAGAACATAACCTTGAGCACCAAATAACTTGGGAGATTTTAAAATTCAGTTCCCACTCGATATATATGCGACTTTATTCAAGAAATAACCTTTTTTCCCTGTCCCATTGAACTAATTTATTGCGTTTAGCGAATCCAGTTTCGTCCGAATTAACCGAGCAATATTTTATGCAAATTGTATTCACGATGTTTTGTCGAAAGAAGAACAAGCTATTGAGCTGGCGAGTGTCCCTGAGCCTCGCCCATCCGATGACGCCGGTCAGACGACGTTTTTGGTGGACCGCCGGAGGCTCGTTTGTCCCAAGACTTCATTGCTTCTTTTTCCTGTTCTCTCTGTCACTCACTTGACGTTACTGTCTGAAACCTCGTTAAGGTCCATTTCAGTTGGTTTACGAGAAGAAGAAAAAAAATATGGATTTGTGTTTTATTTGGCTCGGGAAGAGGATTTTGGGCGTTGGCCGATTGGAGTGACCGAGGTTCACATTGAAAGGCGCTAGGGATATGGATGAACTTCATCGTCGCGCTTGTCAAAACCAAGCAAGACTGTGGGTTTATATATATGTGTATTTTTTTTTTATTTAATTAATTTCAAGCTGTTGTCATAGCAGTCATTTTTAAGAAGTACTTGAGGTACAGTTGTGTTTGTTCAGCTATACTGTACAGTATTTGGTTGATCCATGCGTTGTCAGTGAGTGTTGGGGGAATTTATGCCACAAACCAATCCAGTTTTCTCTGTTGAACGCGAAAATACTGGAAATGAAAATATTCTGGGCCCAGGCATGAGGAGGATTTAATTTTTTTTTAATTTGCCCCAACATCCAGTCAATGTCTCAAGATACGAACATTTCTAGATGAATTTTAAAATGTTCTTTCTTAAATTTTGATATTCCTTGAACACATTAAGCTGTTTATATTCGAAATTATTGAAAATTTTGTTTACTAGAGATCCGCAATAATTATTAATCCAAACTAGGCTGATATTGTGCTTTTTTTCGCAGTTATTTCCATCATCTGTGCAGACTGTAGAGTGTAGGAATATGTGTGCTTGTAGCTCGTTTTTGTGCCAAAAGATCAGATTATGGTTTTCTTTTGCAGTTATTGCCTGGAGGTTGAAGATAAGAAAAAGTTATTGTATTTAAATATTTTGCGGACATTTTCAATCGACAGAAGAATCAATGAAATACATTACTATTGAACTCCAAGGGCAAATGTGGTTTCAACATAGGGAAAAGATCCAAGCATTAATTATGTCTATATTTCGGGGACCCACTGTAAAAATATGCGGAATTTCGTATTTTTTCTGCTTTGAAATCTTGGATTAGAAATTGAGTCGTAAATCGGGGATGTTTTTTTTTAGGGTGGGGGTTATGATTTTCAGAGTACGCGTGAAAAGGGTCCCCCTGAATTAAGATATGGAATTTTTTCTGTTTTTGAATCTTGGATTATGCATTTGAGTCGTAAATTTATTTTAGATCATTTAGGTTTTTTTTTTCGTCGTCGTGGATGTTTTTCTGGAGGATAATTTCGAGAGCACTCTTGAATATGTGTGCTGTGGATAAATTTCAATTAAGGGACATGATTCTGGGTCTGTTTCTTGGTTACTGTTTTTGATCAACAGTTTCATGCCATGAGAAGCTCTTCGATGAATACGTAAATGTGATCACATTCACACCATTGTACTGTTCGAATGTGGCTCGAGAGAAACTGAAAAGTAATTACCTGGATGATTTCCATGGCTCCAGGATTGTTAAATGATTATTTAGCATCATATCACGAATGCTTGAAAACTGCGATCCTATATCCTTTTTTAGACTTCTCAGTAGGACAGATTTCGAAGTCCTTTAAATATTTTAGAAGATGCTTCTTTGTCATTTTTATCGGTAGTCGGGGGTATTTTTTTCCCAACCATTCGTTTGAATTGGAATATTAATTGAATTGAAATTTAATTTAAGGCAGATATGTTCATGCAGTTCGACTTCGATAACGCGAAACTCCCGGAGTCGAATACGAGGTTTCTATCAAAAGTTCTTGGAATATAAATGGAAATGGCGTATAATCGAGCTGAAAAAAATTAGTTTTTAGGGAAAACATATTCTTTAGCACACAAAAATCAGCCCTGTTTGGCAACTTTTTTAAATGTTTTGCAAAACTCTGCCAGGGTGAATTTTGCAAAACATTCAAAAAAAAATTGTCGAACAGGGCTGATTTTTTCTGTGAAAAAGAATATAATTTCCCTAAAGAAAACATTTTTTTTCAACTCGATCGTACACCATTTTCATTTGTATTCTGATAACTTTTTCTAGAACCCGCGTACCTCCCTGTGCCGACTCATTTTTTCCAGTCCCTGTCAGAAGGTCCCTTGAAAAAAAAAAAACATTGAAAACCCCCTTGAATGAAAGGGTTTTCCCCTCAAACATCTAAACTCGCATTTTCTGGAGGCCTTTTATCTGTCGTTTCATTGGCACAGGAAACAGAAAAGCAAGAGATATTCCACTTCGTGTTTTAAAACGAAGTGATGGACAAATGGAAGGACAATGGAAGGAAGTTGTCCCAAGTAATGTATGGACTACTTGGACAAATGAATCCTTGCCTCCGAGTTCTGCATCCTGTCAACTCATTTAACGAGCAATCTAAGACCGGGAATATCACACAATTACAATTTCCCGTAATTTTTCTTCATTTCCTTTTTTTTTTAAATGCTTGTTTCCTCAAATTTAAACTTCCTGAACTCAATGTTTTTTTTTTTGGCTGGTCCCTTGAAGTTCGACTTGGAGGTTTGACTTTATTTCAGAGTGCAGTATTTTCGCTTTGAAATCAATTCTATATGTCCGGAACAATTTTGTGAAAGTTCGGATATCTAATTGTTCGACTATCGATCATCACGTGTTTCAGCACTACGCTGTTTAGGGCAGAAAAAATTACTCGAGTTGATTGAATGACTAAGCTTTTGGCATTCTCAATTTTTTCTGCAAAAAATGGGATATTTGGGGTTCCTAATTTAGGACTTTTATTTCATCAATGTGACACTTTTCAAATACAGTGAGACCCCCAGATGCGGACATGATTGGTGCATCAAGACTGTCCCTAAGTTGAGTCTTGTTTTCCCATAGACTTACATTATATAATTTTCAATTGGTGTTTCATTGAAGAAATACTCTTTAGAATTCCATGAAAAAAAATTTTCGCCACTTGAATTTGATTCAGTCAAGATCTTTTCAACTCAATAAGAACATTTGGAGCATTGAATAGTGTACCTCTGTAAAGTACATTGAAATGTTTGCATCTGTAAAACTAACATTCAAGTCACAAAGAGAGAAGGAAGTCCCTCTATGCTATAGGTATTTTTTTTAATTAGCTGAATTGATGGGGAAAGTGATGCGAAAAGTACCAAAGAATTTTTCTTGCTTACATCTTTGGGTTGGAAATATCTGTTTCTTGCAATTAAGCCTAATAAAAGTCAATTTTCCTGAAATTAATTGGCAATTTTATCCTGCAATGTCCTCATGTCGAGTCAGTGTCCATATGTTGGGCCCTTTTTATACCTTTTCTATTGAAAAATAAATGTCCCTATGTTGAATAGTCCACATGTCGAGTGTCAGCATGTGGGGGTCTCACTGTATAGTGCAATTAGATCCCAGGAGAAACTCGCAGAAAGTCAAATTACGGTGATGATCCTGTCACTTGTAGAAGAACAAAAAAAGCATAATCTCTTCAAGACATTGCAGTATTTTCTAATATACGAGAGCGTGAGTTGACGTTTTGAAATAAACTGGTGCAAAGTATGTGACCATGCCTAACAAAAACTTCTTTGTTTTCCAAATTTTGTTAATGTCGTTGAAAATGAAAATTCATTGCACAGCCGCCATTTTGAGCCTTTTTTCACGGAATACTTTATAATGATCCAAATTCCTGTTGATGGGGTGTGATACCTCACGAATAATTCCCTTTTGTTTTCCAATTTTTGATAAATTCATATGAAATCGAAATTAAGTGCTCAGCCCGCAATTTTAGG